GAGAGAGGGAAGGAGAGAGAGGGAGAGGGAGGGAGGGAGGGAGGGAGGAGGCGATAGCTAGCACCCACCTTGCCGAAGAAGTAGAGGTGCTCGCGCACTGTCAGCTCGTCGAAGAGCACGTTGTGCTGAGGGCAGAGACCCAGGCTGTCGCGGGCCACGTCGTAGCCGTTCACTGTCGCCGTGCCGCTCGTCGGGGTGTACACACCTAGATGGGTCCAAGCACTTTACCGTAAACATGTCGCAATTGCGAGGTATAGGTCATATGCCCTGATTCTCTGCCCGATCATGATATAGAGAAACGTGAGAAAATCCATAATTATGCCGTCGTATGTTTTGTGTTTCAAAGCATATTATACTTCACAGTTTCAATTCAAAAAATACTTTCAGATATAATTCTCAAAAATAATTGAGCATTTACAATATGAACAAAAAACAGTTGCAATAAATACATGGCTGTACGGGAGGCGCCATGTTCTAGGCTTAGTCGCAGCCTTTGAAACGCCGTACAGTCACATTCCGCGGTGCAAAAAATGTATCATCTTCGCCTCGAAGATCGCAGTATGATAGCCGAAATGTTGAAAATTATGCGTAGGAGGCAGTGTCACCCGGTCATTTAAATATCTTCTGACTTCGGCCACGAAAGACTACGCTTTTAAAAGAATTGTAATTAAGAACCCCTGAAAATAAATACGGAGAAACCTCGGTATCTTGGATCTCAAGGGGGAAAAGCAATATAATATTTCAATCGTCCAGTGGCAAATTTCCTCAGGATTACCATTAAAAATTAAATTCTCTATGCGGATATTTACAAGGGGACAGTTTTGTCGAACATTTCTGATTAGACATTTGAATGTACTTATTTAATTTTACGCTAAGTGATAGAATGTACTACTCTATGATACATTAAAAATATGGGATAGTTCGGGTACAAAAATATATTCTACTAATTTATAGATAGTATTTGTTCCTCACCTGTGAGCATGGACATCGTAGTAGTTTTTCCGGCACCATTATGACCCAATAGAACGGTTATTTGTCCCTCGTACATGTTCAGGTTCAAGTTGTCGACGGCTACTTTGTTTCCGTTGAATACCTGAAAAGAGAATAAATTATCCCAATTGCTTTGCATTGGGAGTTTTAAACAACATTCGCAGCATTAACCATGAGATTCATTTCGTGGACAAAGTTTGTAAAGGAAGGACGCAAGAAGTTACATTATTGAAGACGTTGTACAGGGGTGATTGGCTTCAGTGAAAAAGGTTTTTCCATTTGTGGAAATCTGCCCTTATTTTCATAGAGTTTCTTAATTTCCCACTTATGAGTATGTTAATCATACCTTCCTCTATGAGATTGTCCAGAATTATGTAAGAAATCATTTAAAGGAAAATATTCTCTTGCCTCGTGTTTACAATCAGGAAGGTACCAACTCATCAAGGTATGACATTACTTCTCATTTGAGCTGCTGAGAGGTAGAGTTATATAAATCACTGATATCGCGATTTTGACTTATTCGATATTTGAATAGTCCTGGATGCACCTTCAGACAAAGTGTCTTAAGTGTAACTTTCGTAGGGGCCACTGAGTTGAAGCACTGCGCGGGTTGCCAGAATGTGCTATGCAGCGCAATAGTTTAAGTCAATGTTTTCATCTGGGAGCATGCCGTTCGTATATGTGTGTTTATTTGACAGCAGATGTCTTGAGAGTAAGGAACATTAGGTGTAGAAGCTACATAAGTAAACTTATTGCCGGTGATACTCTTTGAAATGATAGTCGGCAGGTTGCTGTTGCAGAACAATAAGATACAGTATCAAATGATATTGATGGAGAAGAAAACGAAGAAGCGGAAATAACAAAGTAATACATTTTCATTTAATTCATAAAGTGTCTAGAAAACATTGAATTCACTCTAATATGTAGTTTGCTTATGTCAGATTTTCGGTTTTTGACATAAACAATTAGTTCAGTACTTGTACAAATAAATTCTAGTTCTATAACATATCTAGAATACATATACATAACCACTCTTATTTGCGATATTTATTAGCAACTTGTTTTTATAAGAAGAATACTCTCTCCTGTAAAATTAAGAGTAAGTGACTGATATGTGGTTATTTTTTTCAATTTTCATAAAATAGATCTTCATTATATGAATTCATTCTTCCGTATTTTACAGTTTGCTTCTTGCATTCTTGGATTGATTTGGAATTTAAATTACACATACATTAAACACGTATTATTGTTTACATTTGTACGCTTTTATACATATCTCACATCACTGAACAATACAAAATGCATCAGGATTCTTAGGGAAACGACTTTGCTCGAGGGCCACGGAAGTTAAAACAAAATCGCTTAGAGAGCAGTTCAGTAAAATAGGTTTTCGCTCTCCATGTCTGTATCAAACTAGTCAGGCTACAACCGCACATACTTTTCCGTATTATTTGTAACGGATTCGCAATGTTATAATGCATCATTCGAAAGTGTTTCTAACGAGCAAATATATGTTTCTCCACCCAGTAATTGAAGGTCTTGGAGTTATCTTGGCATTCATGTTACCTCTACAGCACCAGCGCAACATTCATAATACACGAAATCGTCCGTTCTCTTAAAAAAGAGTAGAGAATTCGCATTTGCAAGTAGATAATTCGCATATGATAATTATTCTAAAACATTTTTTAAATTGTACATTACCTTATTAGACCTACTTTTTGAATAAATTTCATTAAGGAAAAAATCTATATCTTCAATATTGTACTTTTGCAAGGTTATATTTTCGCTGTCGTGATGACGACTTTTTGGTGTCTTGTTGCATTTAAAATTCCCACTAATATTGCGCAAATTGTTGCATTTAAAAATCCCCGCAAACTGGTGCATTAAGTTTACTGGTTGAAACCGGATAGGTTGCGAAACAGCATACCCGTATCCGTGCATCATGAGTTAGCTAACCACAAAAGGCTGCAAGGGCGAGTACGAGCGACCAATAGTACGCGTTGCTGCACTTTCTTAAACACTAGATGATGTACTGTACCTTGCGAAGATTGCGAATTTGGACGCCTGCATTTGCTTTGGTTGGCTCCTTCTCGAAATTTTTCTCGTCTTGTTTTGTAGTATCATATACTTCCATGGAATGGCGTTCGGGACCACACCAGAACGATTTCTAAAAAGAAAGGTCACGTGCGCATGCATGACTAACTTTTATTAAATTTGTTCAAAATAGGGTCTTCATCGTCCTAGTTTTTTAATACCAAGAACACTTAAAATGCAATCGTGCAACCTTAGAGCGCTCTGAGTGTAGTATCTAAGCAGTAGGAGCTTTTTGAGAGAAAGTAAATGGTAAGTAGTATGAAAAGAAGGAAATTAAAACCTACTTTGTCAGTGTTTTTCTCCATATTGCATATGAAATTCAATTCTCAATTAACTGAGAAGTGTATTTCCAAAGTGACTAACCTCTAAGAAATACAATTCTTGAAGGAAAATATTCAAATTTAGACTGATAGCTCAAGATACGATTCAACGTTTTTCATAGTTTTCGTAGGTTAACGTATAAAATGCGTCATTTTGTAGCACAATACTTGGCTGCGTGATGGCGAATAAATAGACGGTAAAAAATAAAACAACGTGAAATGGAGATAAGTTACTTTGGAAATAAGAGCCTCTTCCTTCTTGAGAATATTATTGACAGTAATACGTTAAAATTACCTGAAATGGGAAGTACCACGGTTTGGGCACACCGTAATCGCCGGGAAACACTGCTTCCACGTACAATGTTATCAACATGTAAATTAGGCTGTCCACTATAAACATCAGGAAAATGTATCCCAACGTTAGTGTGTCGTCTTGGGTCGCTGGTTTGAATAAGTTGTACCAATGTTGGCCTGTTCCTGAGAAGAAAAATTAACGCATTCCATTCATTTACAACGAAAATTATTCTTGCGACATATTAGATCAGAGCCAATACATTATAATGCCGTACAAATGAAATTTTAATTTTCTTCATTTATTTCTTGGCCAATAAGGCAAATGTTATTTAATGCTTCATCCACTCCTTTCAAGTAATTCACTTTCTGAACAGTATATTGTTAATATAAAAGTGTAAGTAACAGTAACAGTAAAAAGTAACAGTAAGTTTTGAACTTACGAGCAATTCCGTGGTTTCGAAAATTGAATTTAAATTCTCTTACAACATATGAGACTGTGTTTTGTTGATAAACAGAATTTTCTTCTGAAAAACAATTATCAAATACTCACCAGTGCCTTCATGCATTATCATGACACGGAAGCCATATCCCATAGCTGTATTAAAAGAGAGAGAAGCGAGTAGCTTTTCAGTTAAACTCATATCTTCGTACTCCATCTGCAGTAGACTGTATGGCATATAGGTGAGAAACCAGGCCAATCCTCCTACGGTGGCAGCAGTGTTAGCTAAAACAAGAAAACCACAAAAATAATTTAGTGCTAAAAATATTTTTTTTCTATTCTGAGAATTTATATTTTATTGCCGTTAATTCCACATCACAATAAAATTCAAAGATACATGTTTTACTTTCTTTCTCTTTTCATCCCTCCCTCCTCTCTCTCTCTCTCTCTCTCTCTCTCTCTCTCTCTCTCTCTCTCACACACACACACACACACACACTTCTGGCTCTCGGTCTGTTCCTCTTCTTCTTTTACACAAGTCTACTCACATAATATGATAAATTTCATAGCGACTCTTATCACATGTCAATTAAATTATTATAATTTTTCATTATCTATAAACGAGAATATTTATCTCATTTTTGGCAAAACATGATACAGTCTAAAAATTATAATCTCATCATTTAAATACATACTCTATATACCTGAACAACACGATATCAATTGTTATATATTCACTTGTACGTACATTAATAACAGATTTGTGAAATAATTCAGACTGGATTCCTAAAACCTTTAAAGAATAAATACCTCACAAATATTGAGTTTTCGAATGTGTATATATCACAAACAAGATGTTGGCAGAAAAGACAGATAAAATTTCACCTATCATTTAATAAGAATTTATTTCAATTACATTTGTTGCAGTTTCAGTGGTGTTGGAACTTTCTGTGTTACCTATTTGAGAAAGTAATAGGAAATGCCAATATTTTTATCCCAATGTTGTTTTTGTATTATTTTATTCCAATACATAATATTCATTTTATCTAAAAGCATTTCAATGTTTCCTTCCTGACAGTACTACGTGAAGAATTTTCATAAACCGCAAAGGATGTGCATAAAATGGAAATATTCCAATGAAGAGAATCAAGTAATCTAACACGACATTCTTAGATGGAGAAGCATTTGTAGACTAATGGGCAACGATTGCTCCGCGACGTAGGTCCATGCATTAACTATTATTAATTAAATATTTCTACCGATTGCATTTTGAAAAATAATAATTTTTAAATGAAATAATTCCTAGTCAGTATCATATTGCCTATTTAAATAATATTTTAAATGATAATTTGGTATTTTTTAAATGTATTTTTATTCATTAATCATTCTCATTCCTTAGTTTCTTGCGATGGTTTCAGTAATCATGCAAAAATGCACAATCATTAAACAATTTTAATTTGAGGTTAACTCAATTAAGCATTTGCAATGTTTGTTTTTGTTAAAAAATTCCTTTATATGCTTGTGTGGGAGTAAAGTTACAGTGGAGAGGAATTATTATTTTGTAATACCTATCTTGAGGACATAATTTCTTAATTCTGGGGAAGTTTCACTGGTGGAATGTTTCACTAGTGAAACTTTCCACTATATCCATATGAAGCAGAACATTTCACATAGTGTAACGTATTAGCCAGCGTGCCTCGTGGCATCTATTTGGGGACGCTTGGTAGAGGATTAGCCTCGCCACAGGAAGAAGGGTTTTTCCGTAAAGGCATGAACGCGGAAACGGGAGACACAAGGCTTTGGCGTCTTCCGGCTTATAGAAGCTTTTCACTGTTATAACAAGCGAGGGGGTGGCGTGACGTAGTAGGTCACGTGAGCCTCGCCTATATAACAGTGTACAGAGCCAGTGGGTGGGTTCTGGAGACAGTGGGAGAACCTCGTGCGTGTGCACAAAACTTGGCGCCACGACGGTGCCCACGGGCTCTGTTCACTCTGTTATATAGGCGAGGTCCACGTGACCTACTACGTCACGCCACCCCCTCGCTTGTTATAACAGTGAAAAGCTTCTATAAGTCGGAAGACGCCAAAGCCTTGTGTCTCCCGTTTCCGCGTTCATGCCTTTACGGAAAAACCCTTCTTCCTGTGGCGAGGCTAATCCTCTACCAAGCGTCCCCAAATAGATGCCATGAGGCACGCTGGCTAATACGTTACAATAGATGGATTTGGAACAGAATCAAGATATAGTTAGAACTTATGGTTTAGCTGTTTTAACATTAATGCTAGAAGTTGAATGCTAAGATCGTGGTGATATTAGGTATATCGGACAAACAAGAAGACGTTTATGATTTCTTGGAAATTTTTTAAAGATGTTTCAAAGCGATTGATGCAGAAAATAAGATTGGGGATGCGAAAGTTAGAGTTGGAAGAAAAATGTTATCTAATAAGAATTTGGTTTAAATGCATCTTAGAATGCTTACCCTTGGAGAAGAATACCGAAACCATAAAACAGAAGATTGTGGTTGCTACCATGAATAGGAGCAAGAACACGAAGAGGACTGTGCCAGACCCGTACGTGAAGACGGCTACATCTCCGTTCACCTTCACCATCAGCAGCACTGTGATGAACACAGCGGAGATCAGCAGAAGGATCATCGTCTTGATGAACCAGGCGATCCAATGTAGTGCAGTGGGGAGGCCCATGATCTTCATAGCTTCCTGTGCATTACATTTCGATCATTGGAACTCTGTGTTTGATAGGTTGATTGTTTGTGATTTCGGGCGCGACAACTTCTAGGATCATTAATACTGTAAAGTGCATGTTTTTGCTGGGGAGGTGGCGATGATCTTTCCCACTGGCGAGATACGACGTCGGCCTACCATTGGCTAGAAAGGTAATCCCTAACCAGGTATCTCCCATCAGTGGGGCACTGCCCCAGTCGGGACAAGCTCTAAGCTCCCGACCGGTCTCCCGGCATGTGTGGTAGTGTAGTGCATGTTAGTGGAAGTGGGTAGGGATAGGACTAGGAAGAGGTAGGAAAGATCACACGCCGTGGCCCGTTTGTTAAGGTACTGCTCCGGCATTCGCCTGGTGTTGATCGGAGAAACGTAAAACTACCGGTCAGAGCAGCTGGCCGCTAGAATTATTCTCCAGACAGCCGTCCTAGCTGAGAAGCTAGTGTCGAAAATCCTGCCACTGTCGGGACTCAAACGTAGGATCTCCCGGTCAGAAGGACTGCAGTGACATCAGTTGATGCCGTGAGCCATCTCTCCTGGTAGAACTCGGAGTCATAGCAGGAAATTATTTCTCGCAACCAAATTCGATCTCGAAATTGCAAAACGAAGAGAACACTTTACGTTTTGAAAATTCATTTGTATTTATAAAAGTATCATGATCTATGTTTTAAAATCAGAGCTTAATTTTCTTACAACATATTTGTATATGAATTCAAAAATGTTTTTAATTACGTTATACCTATTGTTTTCCATGACTTTTAGGTATAGTAACTTTTACCGGAAAACCAACTTTCCTCAGAAAACACTACCATACTTTGCACATTGTATAATTCAACCGTATCGTGTTCAAGTCAGAAAAATATATTTTATTATGTTTTATATTAATAACATTATATCATAAAATGACATTAATACGAAAAAGTATATTCTGCCCGTCAACCCATTGCTGTCAGGCCGTCGCTCACCCGACGCTTTTCTCATAAACCTTTTTCTCATAAGATTCATGGAACTATAATAGATAGTTTTATGCAGGTCACAAATTTATCAAACATTTTTATATAGGTATAGACTGCCAGACACTCAATAAAAAACTCACTTCATTGTCTGGAATTGCATACTTACAATTAAATTCGTTTATAAGTAATCCTTCTTAAGTTGGTTCACGAAGTCGTACCTTGACCTGGTGCTCCTTCTCCGTGGTAATGGACTTGATGGTAGCGATGCACGTGTAGACGAACCCCAACATGAGCATGGATGACACCACGCTCTCCAAGGCCAGCAGGATGGGGTCGTCCGTGTATTCCGGATACGAGAAGCGACGCATCCTGAAGTCTACGGGGATCTGTCGGATACATCGTCGTGTTTCAATTCGACTCGGTAAAAGGGTAATCATGTCGCAAGCCTCAGAAGTTACGGTCCGCACAGACGGACAAACGTTTTGCCATCATCAGGTTTTTCGGTATCAAAACCCCACTGTTATATGTATTACAGTCTTGCGCACAGCTGAAAATGCGGGTAATATTCGTTCTT